TTCCTACAACCAGTTTAGTGCTGTAATTTAGGTTCTTAGAACGAGTTCTGTAATTTTACAAGGTAATAACAGTTATGATCAAGTATAAACCTTTGTGCAGGTTTAGCATTTTTGCCGTGAACATGTTCGCAAATGAGCATTTTCTTATGGATTCAACATATACCCTATGAAACTAAAATCTTTTAACCCAAAGAAAAATACCCAACATATAAGACAAGATTTGGGCTTAAGACTTGGACTAATACAAAACCTGTTTAGCCACCATTTTACACAAAAACTTAAGTTCTTATAAAGGGTAGTGCTTTAATCATCTGCTAAAGACAACCATCTGATATGAATGCAAAATTTTAAGGCTAGGGTTTTTCCACAAAACATGAATGCAGAATAATCAAAACATGAATGCAGAATATTCAAAACATGTCGACATGAAGCTATGAACAAATACCATATTTCACAAATTTTTTCCACTACCCTCCAAATCTCCGATGCACTGCTCAATGTAAAATGCAAAACAACAACATTAAGGGCCTGTTTAGTATGTGGGACAAGGGGGGATTTGGAAGATGGATTGGGGAATAAAAGTCCGGATTACACACAAACCCATGTTTGGCAACTAAATTTCTAGCCCAGGTTACCAAGCCCAGCCCGCTTTAGGCCCGCAATTTAAACCCAACTTCATGGGTTTCATGAAACCAAGTTGGGGGGGGGGGTTTGAGATGGGGGTTAAAGTGTTAGCATACAAAATGACTTATATACCCAAATAACCCTATTCAACACAATCCAGATCTTTGTGGTGGGAAGTGAGCTACGTGACCAACACAGATATCTGCTTGTGGGAAAGATTGAATGGGGAGAGGGAGGACGCTTGTCCTCTTCACTGGTTACGATTGAATAAATCAACGGAGAAGCTTGATTGCAGAGAGATTCGCCCAAGATTGTCCTTTTTTCTGCCATCGATAGAAGAAAAGCAATGGTGAGGGATGAAGTTGCAGAGATATCTTTCGCCCTATCAATATAATCACTGTTCGGAGATGCTTCGATTGCCCTATATAAACCCCTTCTGTTGTTCGATCGAAACACATCTAAAAGTCGAGGTAATTCTTTGTTCTATGTCGGTTTAGCGCTCGCTCTCTCTCTCTCTCTCTCTGTGTTGTCTTAATCCTGCGATATTGCATCTTCCTTCGTCACTACAGATTTTCTAAGGTATTGTCGAATTAAATCTTGTCTTTTATTTATTGCTATTTGTAGTCTCTCTCATCGAGTTCTGGTCTCATTTATGAGAAGGTATACAACTAGCTATATGTTGTGTTTATCTATTGGCTCTTTGCATTTTCTTCGATTTGTTAGGATTATGGGGTAATATTGTGCGTAGATCTGTGTCTATTCACAGATCAATCATCTTCTTGCTTCTTTTCATTAGGTTTTATGCTGGCTCAAAGTTCCATGTTTTCCTATTTTTTTAATGGAAACCTATGGTAAAGATTTTGTGCTCTTTTATTCCTGGTCGGCACAATCCAGATTGTGTAAAATTGTCGATTTATTTCCTGAAAGAGAGGTTTTTATAGATAGAATAACTTTGATTCTGCAACTCGATACTTATCAGACAAAATTCTTGAATCCCAAAAGATTCTAATCGTATGCCAAGGCTTGCTCTTTTTGGTCAAATTTTTATGTATATTGTAGTTTTTGAGTAAATTTGATCACTAGAACAATAGTTGTACATGCTGCTTGTGTGTCAAATGTCTACACCTTTACAGCAGAGAGATGAAATTATTGAGGAATTATGTTAGTTTGTTTGGAGGTGGCTGCATCCTGAATGTTTGACTGTGATGTAATGTGAAATTGTGTTATGTGTAGAAGTTCATAAGCCTGTTAGTTTCACGGAGTATGGATGATGGGCTTCTTTGTAGCAGGTAGCTACTTCTTTAAGTATTGTTAAAATCCAATTAAACAAAGAATACCATATATTTGTATTGAGTAAACATTTGTGGTGGGTTTTTGGAAGGAACTTACAGCTAGGGTGAATAAAAAGAAAAGGACAAAAAAAAACAACAAAGAGGAAGCCAAGAAGGGGAAAGGGAGGTAGGCTTACGTGGGGGTAATTTGTAAGTATTGTTTTTTTTTTTTTTCAAAGATTTGGTAGTGGAATGCTATAGCAAGTAAACGTGGCTGAACATGTTTCATGGTTTAACTTAATACTAGTTTATTTGAATAAAATGTAAAGGCATGGCTACTTGTTAATATTTCCTTTAACTTGATTAAAACTGTATATAGTAAAATTAGTTTGATTAAATGCTTGGAAGTTTGATTACTAATGAATCGTGAGTTGATTTCCTTTAGAATTCAAACAATGAAATTTCCATTTGAGATAGCATGGGAGGTTTGGATCTTAAACTAATCAAAACCTATTAGTTGCATAGCTTAGAATGGATGGTACCAAACATAACGGCTGGGAAAATAGCACAAGTTACCCAAACTTAAGCTAAATTTTAAAGCAATAACTTAGCTGTTAGGAAACTAAATTGCGGGAATTTACCGCTGCGATTCAGTTAGGTTGCTGGAATTTTCATTTTGAAGCTGAATTAGTGGGTTGGGTTGCTGAAATTGAAGGAAAAAAGGTGAAATATTGTAACTATGTTTTAGCTGCAAAAAATTATGTGTATGGCCTAAAAGAGGGTGCTTCCATTTAGTTTAAAGGTTGAAATAATTCCCTTAAATGTTGAATTTGAAGCTACGAAAAGAAATATGATTAAAATTTTCATATGTACTAGATTGTTTAACTCAAATCCTTTTACGCCCTTTTTGTCCCAACACGTTAAGAATTGGCTTGTAATTGTGAAGGTACAAGTACACTTGAATTTTTTTCCAGATGTATGGGTTTTATTTATATTACGAGATTTGTATTTGTATTAGGAGTTTCATGGATGTGGTGCTCATTTGAACACACAGACATACATAGAGAAACTATGTAGTTAATGTTTTTGGAAAATTATTTTGTAATTATTAATATTGATATGTTGGAGGTTTTTGTGGTATTATTTCAGTGAATATGGCCCGTAAACATGACAATGTAGCAGCTGTGGTTGTTTGTCTTAATAATTTAGTAAGAGAGTTTGTCATTGTTTGTACTTGTATTTTAATGGTTATGATAGCAATATGGGCAAATGAAAAATGAAAGACACGGTTATTGACTAGGTCAGTCGATAGGTTCTGTGCACAAAGTGAGCATCTCCATGGACTTATCGGAGAAAGCGATAGAACATGTGTAGAACAACTTAGGATGGATAAACATACATTCTACGTGTTGTGCTGCTTAGTTAGGAAGTCGGTGGACTTACCACCACAAAATATGCTTGTCGAAGAGATGGTTGTGATGTTCTTGAGTATTATAGGCCATGATGATAAGAATTGCCCAATTAAGTTAAACTTCATTAGGTCTAAGGAGACAGTGAGTAGACACTTCAACGCGATTCTGCATTCTGTTCTAAAATTGTGACGATTACTCTTGAAGAGGCCTGAACCAATTACAGATGGTTGCAGTGATCCCAACTGGCAGTAGTTCAAGGTAGTCAGTACGAGCAACGTGTTTGTCATTATTTCGTGATTGAATTTAAACTACACCTTTGTACTCAATTTTTTTATCGTCATTGGTGCTTATAGGGATGTGTAGGGGCACTAGATGTAGGGCAAAAGTGCCCTTCCTACACCAAGGTAGATATAGGAACAGGAAGGGGTGGACAAGAACTAATGTGTTGGGCGCTTGTGGGCAAGACATGAAATTTATCTACGTATTGCCCGGATGAGAGGGGTCTGCAGCTGATTCTAGGGTATTGTGCGATGCTATCACACGACAGAATGGGTTGAAGGTGGACGTGGTAAGGTCACAATTTTTTTTTTTTTTTTGACATTTTGTGACTTGGTTAGTTTTTTCAAGAATTAAGTTTTATTCAATTATATGCACTTGTAGGTACATATTACCTTGTGGATGTTAGGTACACAAATGGAGAAGGTTTTTTTGGCTCCATTTCGTGGCCAACGATACCACTTGCAGGAGTTTGCCAACGGTGCCACAGCTCCAAGAAATGCGCACGAGGATTTCAATTTGAGGCACGCAATAGCGAGGAATGTCATAGAAAGGTGTTTCGGGCTACTTAAAATGCGATGGGCTATCCTTAGGACGGCGTGTTTTTACCCAGTAGTAATGCACAACAAAATCATTGCTGCTTGTTGTTTATTGCATAATCTTATTAGGAACGAGATGGAATATGATCCGGTGGAGGAAGAGTTGGATGAATATCCATTTAAAGATGAGAATGTGAATGATAATGACATAATTGATAGCGTTGAAACTTCGCATGGTTGGATTGCATGGTGTGATCAACTAGCGGTTGACATGTACAATGACTGAAGGTGTAATAGGGTACCTTGATGTTAGTCGGTACAGATTGTTGCATGTTTTTAGTGAATTACTTTCGCCTCATGTTTGTTTTTTTGGTTAAGTTCTATTCCATGCACGTAATAATATTAGTGGATGTTTTGCGTGTATATAAAAGTCTTTAAAGCTTCTTGAAAACATATTTTGTTGGCAAATTTAACTTAATTATAGGTGTATATGTGGATTCAATACTATTTGTAGTGGTGACATGACAAGTGTCGGGAGTTTGCAATTTAGGGGAAGTTCTTAGTTTGATAAGGGACTGAGACGAATGTGGACAAGGTCCGAAGAATCGTTGCTTATAAATGCGCTGTAAGACATTTGCATTTAGGGCTGGAAATTTCAAAACGGCGCGTTCAGATTAGGTTACTTGCACCTCTTGGAGAAGGCTTTAACAGATGCACTAAGCAGAACTGACTTACATGCCACTCCACACATTGAGTCAAAGATTAAAAACTGGAAAAAAACCTACGACACACTCTTCACCAAGTTTAGCATGTCAAGGTTCGGGTGGAACGACGCAGAACATAAGATAGATGTTGAGGGGACGATGTTTGGGCCGAGTATGGCAAGGTACTTACTTCCCAAGCCCACTACTTTTTTCCTTAAGTCATTCATTAACGGCTTGTTGTTTTCCAGAAAAACCGCAATGCGAAAGGAATGCGTGAGAAAAGCTGGCCTTACTACAATGACTGAAGCATAATTTTTGGCAAAGATCGTGCAACGGGCGAGTATGCCAAAGATTTAAAAGAGATGGTTGGGGGTGATGATGCAGGAGTTCAGGTGCATGATACTGAGGATGCCGTAGACACTGACATAAATATGGCAAACACTGGAATGTCTAAAAGCACGCCTCAACATGGTGTGGTTGGACAGGGGGACACACCCACAAGCCGTAAATAACGTATGAAGACAATTAGGAAAACATCTGATGGAATTGCACGCAACATAAATAAAACGACAGACATACTTGGTGACTACGTGTTGAGTTGTGGAAAACAACTCTCAGACATTGCTCAGAGGGTCAGTTACAAGTAAGATGCTATGTAGGCGAGGCGTCAACTGAACGCAGAATTGACAAAAATTGATTGCCTAACGACGGATCACCGACACAGGACGACTTACAAGATTGCTAGTGACCCGATTAAGGTGGACCTCTTCATGAGCTTGCCAGAAAGTGAGACTAGCATGGCTTCTTGGCGTGCTATGGGGTAATGCATTAGTGATGGACAATTAGTGCTTATCCTTATTCGCCTATTTTGGAATCTTTTCAGTGATGTTAAGTATTCTCCTCTTCGTTGTTGTTCCTATGTTGTGTGTGAAAAGTGGTATTTATAGAATGTAGAAGTATCATTTGGCTGTTGATGTCATCAAAATGTGTTTCTGTATGCTTATTATGTTTTGGGTATTTAATGTTTGTGTTTTAAAACTATAGTGAATTCCTTGTGTTATTCACTTTTCACAATAGTCATGACTTCAATAACTGGAATGAAAATGGGTTTGAAGAAAAAATGGTATGCTGTGTTCAATGGTTGAAGGGTAGGAATTGTTGATATTTGGCAAGAATGCCACGGCCTTGTCACTGGATATTCTGGCGCCTAGGAAGCACAGATACTCTTCGGAGGGTCGACGTGGCGGTGTCAGACACGTGTCCGACACGGATACGCTAGGGATACGGCTGGACACGTGTCCGACACTTCCACAAGTGTCTTAAACAGTGAAGAAGTATTTGTTATGGACGGATACGACTTGGATACGGGGGTGATACGGCGGGATACGCCCCACAACCATGGGTTTATGTTGAAACTAGAAAAAAAAAGGGACGAAGAAGACGATACCCTGATCAGCCACTACGACTGCCACAACTAAAGATCACCTCCTCTTCGAGCAGGTATGTTGTCTTCAGATCTCCTCTTCGACTACTCTCTCTCTTTGTCTCTCTCGACCATTTTTATCGCTCCTCTGTGATAGCGGTGTGACATAGTTGTTGAAAAACAACAGTCACGTTGCTTTCTTCTTTTTTTGTTTTCTTTTCAGTAGGGGTTTTCCATAATCACGTTTTAGTCCCTGTTATTTTTTTTTCCTTTTTTCTTTGCCCTAATTGCTAAATTACACTTTACAAGTAACCCTTAAACTTTTTATATTTTATGTTAAATTACAATCATACCTTATTAGTAGTCACCCACTATCCATTTTGGTTAAGCCCAATGCCCATAATATATTAGTTCACTAATCAAATTTAATATTAGTTCATTTTCTCCGATTATAAAATAGTAATTAATTGCTCAAGTTTATTATTAATATTATTATATATATATAAATATATTATATTATTTTAATTAGTTATATCCTTGCCGTACACGTGTACTATATTTTAGAATTTTATCATATCCCTGTGTTGTATCGTATCGGATACGACACCTATGTCCGTTTCTATGCTTCCTAGCCTGGCGCTTTGTACAAATCGTTTTTGTCATACGTAGCTGCATAAGAGGCCTTAGCAGAATACGTTTCCGCTGTAGTGATGGACCAAAATAAAAATCAAATGCATACACTAGATGACAACACTGTGAATGATCCATGGATCACTGGAGCACGTGAACGAATTCTCATGCCACACGAAAGGTTTGGAAGAAAACCCTCTCCAGAAATTCTACCAGTCCCACAAAATAGAATTATGCTCATTGTAATAGCGTTCATATTGGATTTCATAATTTGCAATATTTTGACAATGTTTGTGGGGGAAATTTGTTTGACCAAACGATCATATGCGATGACCATATTTCCTAAAATTTTCCTCAACTTATGCTATGTTTGTAATTTATGTATTCACTTTTATGGATTGATATCAGTAAACTAATATACAAATTTTTGTTACGTTATTAACTAATTTCTTGTGCATTCATTTTGTAATGGAAATTATTATCGGACCATGGTTAAAAGAAATGCGGCGATTAAGACTAACACAAGATGAAGAAGATGTTCTGTTGGATTGCCTTATGAACCTTAAGTTGGAGAGGCGCATTGTCAACACGGGTGAATTCCTTGAAGGAGGCTAGAGTCATCTATGGGAGATGATAAGTGCACGTCGGCAAGTACCACAATTAACTCAGTGACTAGTGATGGAAGTAGTTATTTTTTGGAAAAGACATCATTTCTAAATGAAAGATATGGAGGCTTTGGGTTTATTCCGTTGGAACAATCAAGAACTAGTTCTTTTCCCAATCAATCCGGTAGGAGTGTATTTCTTAGAGGTTTATTTTTTGTTAGGTTTTTACATATATATATATTACTATACAAATTATTATATAGATGTGTCCATAAATCCAATATGTCATTTTTTGTAAGATGACACCTTTGCATCTCGAGCGTGTGTGCGGACTTGTCCCAATTACGAGATTTTCATAGAAATATTCGGACCACATGGAGAAGACGGAAATATATCAATAGTTTTCATTGCTAATTCCACTTCAGTCTTGTCTCCATATAGCCCGACTGTGGACTTGGTTATCATGGATGATTAATATCATCAATAAATGTGAGCATTCTATAATTAATACAATGATGTTTAATATGGTGTAACGAGAATATATCCGTCTGGTTTGATGTATTTGGGAATAGACAAGTTTTATGTGTATCCCCGTATATGTAAATGTTAGAATGTTGCACCGTCTTGTTGGGTCAATGCTTTATTGAGCTTTATTATGGTTATGAATAATAGTTATATTTTATCAACATTCATGATTTTTTTCATAAGTTAGGAAGAAAAAATAATCATATATTAAAATCATAAGGACACAAAAAAATGTACATAAACAAACATGAGTTTGGATTAAATTGGTTAATGGACACAATAGTCATTTATATACAAATAGATTATCATAATAGTGATATATCCGTGCACATACCAAACATGGGTATGAACGAGATTAAATGTTGAATCTCATCTTTGTAAAGAGGGGTTTGTGTTTGGATAAGTTAATCCAAATTCTTCCCAAAAAACCAACCAAATAGGCCCCAAGACCAAGGCGAAATAAAAAAATGGAGAACAAAATTAAGTTGAAGATATTATCAATAACAAAAACAAAAAACAAATTTCATAGTATTCCAGACAACCATCCCACCCCAGCCCTTGGATTGTGCGAAGAAGAGAAGAATTAAACCGACACAGGACGGAGAATTATCTCGGCTTTTAGATGTGTTTCGATTGAATAATAGGAGGGGTTTATATAGGACAATCGAAGCATCTCCGAACAATGATTGACTTGAAAGGGGGAAGGATATCTCTGCAACTTCATCCCTCACCATTGTTTTTCTTCTATTGATGGCAGAGAAGAAGACAATCTTGCGCGAATCTCTTCGCAATCAAGCTTTCCCGTTGATTTCTTCAATCGTTTATGTTAAGAATATTAGGGTAGTATGTGTAAATTATTAATAGCAAGAGGGTGTATGTGTAATTCTTATTATTGTGAGTTAACTATAAATACAAGTGATGTATGAGAGATAGGTTAACTTTTGACATCTCTCTGTTATTCTCTAATATTGTGTTAATCCTTTACATTTAACATGATATCAAAGCAATTACAATCCTAAATATATTTTGAATAAATTAAGCTACAGTGGTAGTGGTGATTTGTGTTGTTGTGGTGGTGTGTTCGTCGGGATTTGTGTTGTTGATTTCGTCGTCGTGGGTAGCATCGTGGTAATCCGTCGTTCGTTGTGGTGGTCAAGACGCAGCGTGGTGGTTTGTCGGTTTTTGTCTTGTATTTGTGTTGTTGATTTTGTCGTTGTGGGTAGCATCATGATGATCTGTCATTCGTTGTGGTGGTCAAGGCGCAACATAGTGGTCTGTCGTTTTTTGTCTTGTGAAGGCGCAGTCGAAGTTTAGGGTTTATTGAAACCCTAATCGACGAAGAAGAAGAGGTCCAGACCTGACTTCGGTTCAAATCCAATCAGAGTGGATCAATCCCGGCTCGATCTTGGTTCAGCTAGCTTCAGACCGGTTCAGTAAGTGGTCTCTCCGGTTCAGCGATTCAGTAAGGTCTTGTGACCTGGTTCAGACAGTGTTGCACCGGTTCGTACCGGTTTAGTCAATTTTCACTCTGGTTTAGCGGTCCAGTGTGCCTAATCTGTCTAGTTTAGTGATCCAGCAAGTTAAACAAGACCGGTTCAGCGGTCCAGAGGGCTCAGTCTGTCCGGTTCAGCAGTCCAGCTAGCTTTTCCAGCCCAGTTCAGTGGTCTAGAGGGCTTAGCCTATCCGGTTCAGCAGTGTAACATTTCTGGTTCAGCCTGTTTTTCTTCTAGCAACCTGTTTTTCTCATGGTTAAGCATTGTAACACTTCTTGCTTGCTATTTGCTGCACTGTTATGGAACCCAAGCAAGATACTAGGGCCCTTACTCCATCTTTGCCTCCTACTCTTATCAATGGTCCCATGACCTCTGTTGTTGCTTTCGTACCTCGGTCAGTTTCACCAGATACTAGGTCGGTTACTATTACACAAGAGGAGTATGCTCAGTTTCTGTCCCAGCAATAGGCTGTCCCATCTCCCTCAACTGCTACTTTTGCCCAGTCAAGTACTGCTTCCACTTGTTTATTTTCCTCCACTCGCAGTCCCTGGATCATAGACACTGGCGCTTCTAACCACATGACTGGTGCGTATGATGTTTTTTCTATTTATCAGTCTGTTACTTTCACATGTAGTGTTACCTTTGCTAATGGTATTTGTTCTTAAATTTTAGGTCTGGGGACTATTCACTTGAGTGCTGATATGTCTCTATCTTATGTGTTATTTGGTCCTTAATTTTCTTTTAATTTATTTTTTATTAGCAAGATTACTCGTTCTCTCAATTGTTCTGTAATATTTTATCTTTTTTATTGTCTTTTAGGATCTCAAGACGAAGAG